CAGGGCTGCACAATTTTGTCAAATATTTAATTGTAATTCCTCTGACAAACATATCTATATTTTAGAGAGATTTTTTATTGTACATGTAAAACTTTTCGAAATGTCTCAGCAAAATATACTGTGTTTTTTTTAATGCCTAACGGCAGCACGGTGGCTGAGTGGATAGCACTCTCGCCTCTCAGCAAGAAGGTCCTGGGTTCGAATCCCGGTCGGACCAGGGCCTTTCTGAGTGGAGTTTGCATGTTCTCCCCGTGTCTGCGTAGGTTTCCTCCGGGTACTCCGGTTTCCCCTATCACTAAAAATATGTCCAATAGTTCTGACATGCGCTTCATGTACTGGCGACCCCGCTCCCATCTCTGTGTGGAGTGAGAGACAAATGCCCAAAATTAACAATTGTAAACCGCTTTGAGACTCAGATCTGCAGTGAAAAGGCGGTATATAAATAAAAACTTACTTACTTACTTACTAACTTAAAATCCCAAAATAATGCTATGTTATGCTGAAATCAAATGCAGGGACGCTCTCTTTCACATGTTTTTAATTTCCTTGTCGTGCAGCAAGAACTTTAATGATTGCAACCTTTGTCTTAACCATATCACAGTCAGTCCAATTGCATTTCCGATTCTCGTAGGCCTAATTCCTTCGAGCACTTCTGCACACACAGTTGTTTTTGTTGGAGCTCAGTGCTGTCCTTTCCAAGCCCAGTTCGGAGCAGATCCATCAGAGTTTTGACAGCGTTTTTCCTCTCGTTTCTCTTCATCGTCAACAAATCGATCGGCAGGGCATATCTTTAGTCAACTACTGGCCTCTTTTTACAAATGGTCGTACTACAGAGCTCTCATCTTTCCCACTCCCTGTACTATGAACATGTTTTTGCAGTATACAGTTTACAATTTCTTCCTCAGACACACTCGTCTTCATAATGCTTTGTTGTTTTCCTGTTATCGGTCGATGATGGCTGTCTCGCTCTAATTGCTGCTTCCAGTGGTCAACGTTATTTAGTTCAGGTTACCATCGTGTTTGCGATCAGACGGTTGCATCACTTAGTCACATATCGCATTGCAGCTGTTGCTTTATAAATTATGATAAATGCGTTTTTAAGAGTTTTCTTGTTTTGCTATTGAGGATAACTTTTTCAGCGTTTACAAAGTGGAATATTATCTGTGATGGCCCATTAAAGCTATAGCCAAACTTTTATATTTTGTTTATCCATGTTTTTTTTTTTCGCTTTCGCAAGCTAATCGTAAACACAGAATATTGAGACAAACTTTATGGTTTTCCTCAAATTTGCAAAACATTTTAACTCTAGCATACTGAAGGAAGAAGCTGTAGTAGTGATACAGGGCAAAACTACCCAGGAGTAGTACTACTAGTTACATTTTTTTAGTGTTGTGGGGCATAGAGATGAGTTTGATTGATCTTTTCTACATTTAAGATTAACTTTCTCAGTGCTTTCTCTGAGCTTTATCCCTCCAAACTTGACCGAACATCCATTTTATCAGCGACGTTTCAGGGCGACAGATGCACTTCGATGTAAGAAAACCATGTGACAGGTCCATTCAGTCCGGAATGCAGTGGCAAATGTGAAATATTTCACGCATTTTGACTTCTAGAGCTCATTTCATTACAGTTTTGAATATTGCTTTTAACTTGAGCATGGTCGCCTCTTTCAAGATTCAAAATTCAAGAATTTCTTTGCCATTTGCAGTAAAACTACATTGGAAAAACTGTGCAAGACTACCCCCAGTGTGCACTAGGGCTCCTGCCATGGCACAATTTTTCCAGCCCCATGCGAAATTTCAGTGTTGCCCTACCATTTACAGAACAGTAGGCATGAGGAGCACACAGCACTAGATAAGTGACCAATAACTCCATACTTATACCAAAAAATCTCTACTAACTTAAGCATAATAAAGAAGCAAGTATAAAACCTCTAACTTTAGTATGTCGCCGTTTCAAAATCAGATACCCCAGTTTGACAAGCTCCTACAGCTATACTTGTATACTATCCACAGAGAGTATAAATGACATTTATGCTCCATAAATTATTAAACGACGTGAGTGACACATAGATCACTTGTGACACAGTAGTCTCTGGGGAAGTCTGACAATGGTCTATTTACTGGTGCGTATTAAAGCTGGAGTACCAAACCTGTTTTTGTTTCAGGAATTGATACATTTTGTTTGTCCCAACAGAAACCAATCAGGCCACAACATGCTTCATTTTTATCTTACTAGAAAACATTTTGTCTTTTACCTAATGGTTAACTGACTGCTTTTCAACTGAAACGCCAGGGTCCTGTTCGTGGACTTCAGCTCTGCCTTCAACACAATCCTGCCATCCCTGCTCCAGGACAAGCTCTCCCAGCTCAACGTGCCCGATTCCACCTGCAGGTGGATCACTGACTTCCTGACGGACAGGAAGCAGCGAGTGCGTCTGGGGAAGAATGTCTCGGACTCTCGGATTATAAATACAGGAGCCCCACAAGGCTGTGTTCTTTCTCCCTTGCTCTTTTCCCTGTACACCAACCACTGCACCTCCAGCCACGACTCCGTGAAGCTGATCAAGTTCGCGGACGACACCACCCTCATTGGACTCATCTCCAACAACGATGAGTCCGCCTACAGGAGGGAGGTGGACCGGCTGGTGTCCTGGTGCAGTGGTAACAACCTGGAGCTGAACGCCCAGAAGACAGTGGAGATGATTGTGGACTTCAGGAAGAGCACTGTCCCCCCGCCCCCACCCTCCGTGATGGACTCCCCCATCACCTCTGTGGAGTCCTTCCGTTTCCTGGGCACCACCATCACCCAGGACCTCAAGTGGGAGCCGACCATCAGCTCCCTCATCAAGAAGGCCCAGCAGAGGATGTACTTCCTGCGGCAGCTCAGGAAAGCCAAGCTGCCTGCACAGATGTTGGTGCAGTTCTACACGGCCATCATCGAGTCCATCCTCACCTCCTCCATCACCGTGTGGTTCGCTGGAGCCACAGTCAGGGACAAACAGAGACTACAGCGCATTGTGCGCTCTGCAGAGGAAGTGATCGGCCGCAGCCTTCCATCGCTGCAGGACCTGTACGTCGCCCGAGCTCGAGGCCGGGCTGGTCGTATCACAGCCGACCCCTCTCACCCTGCACATGGACTATTCCAACCACTCCCCTCAGGCAGGAGGCTGCGGTCCATCAGGACTAGAACCTCCCGCCACAAGAACAGTTTCTTCCCCTCTGCTGTTGGACTCTTGAACACTTCTTAACCTGTCCCCCCGCCCTTTATAAAGTCACTTTACTGCCCATCATACGTCACTTTACTTCACTGTACTGCTGTCACCTTACATTGTGTGCACCATGTGCACTTGTATATTGTAAATAGTAACTGTAACTCTATTTTAAATTTAAATTTATTCTTTAGAAGTGTTTTTTATTCTTATTTTTATTATCTCTTTTTGACTGTTGCACTGAGCCAAAGCAATTTCCAAGTCTGTGACCTCCCGTTACTTACGTTGGCAATAAAAATGATTCTGATTCTGATTCTGATTCTGAAAAGACGTATTGAAGAGGCCAGAAATACAGTCATGTGAAAATTAAGATAAGATGTACTTTATTAATCTCACACAGGAGAAATTACATGTCACTTTGGCAAGGATAGGAACTCAAGAATTAAAAAGTAAGAAATGTGCAACATGTTAATGCAGGATATTATGTACAAAAAAGTGGCAATTAGAAAGTGGCAATCAAGAAAGAAGTGTCAATAGCAGTGCAGGTTTTAGTGATGCAAACAAACTGTTTTGAGAGTAAGGAACTAGATACATGGATTTTATTACAACAAGGCAAGGCTGTGCGATACACGTTTTGTATAATAATAATAATGCATATATAGCACAGTTCATAGTCAAGGCATCTCAAAGTGTTGAAGGAAACAAGATAGAATCAATCCATACAAGGCGTTCAAATCATAAATAATCACAGTACATTAAAAATTACATGCATAGTCTACTCCAGCTTTAAGAAATAGAAATCTCCAATGGGGGCTATAGAATTAGTGTTTGACTTTGATTATTGTCCCATATGTACGAGATCCCCTGCCCGAGGTACAAAATCAATGTTTGTGGCCGTAGTAAACGGGAGCAGTGATTTTTCTGGTTTGTAAATTGCAGCCTCATCAGTGATTCATTCTTCTTTTTATACACCGTGACTCATTAGTGCGTGGTTTTTTAGCTGTTTGTGTTCAGTGCACACCTCGGCCTCGTTTTAGCTTGTAGACCTGGGGTTGTTTTTTCGCTATCTGGTAATAAGTGGTTTGCAAATGGTGGCAGGCAGAAGTCAAGCATCCGTTTGTTTTGAATGTGCTTTCTGTGAACCATTTTGATTAAAGCGGATGTTTGTTACTTCTCAATTTTTTTAATTTTTTGTTTTAATATACCTACTTACTTTACAATATAGTGCAGGATTAGATGGTAAAAAGACCGTTAAAAGCTACTGTTATTAAATTATGGATTGCTTCTAGGTCTAGTTTAGTGCCGTAAAATCAATTTGTATTAAGGTTTGCATGGTTATAACTGAATTTTAGTTCTTGCTAAGGGCCGGGTGCTTAACTTGTTTGGTTAAGTAGTAAATACATTTGGTTTGTCCCAGCAGAACACAAGACTTTTTATTAGATTTCATGTTGAGCACGCATTGGCTTTTGAGTCGTTATTTAACTGTTCAGGCTCAGAGCTGATCGGCTGAGCGAGGGTGGTCTTCTTTTTCACTTCTGTCTGAAAAAACGTATCTAAAAATGTGACAAAAGACAAGGAACCAGTTAAATGGATTTTTCTTTTTTTTTAACGTTTTTATGTGTTTTGAAAGTTGGGTACCCCAGCTTTAAGTGCAGACTTGGTTATCACTTCTTAAGCTCGTATTTTCCTTTCAATCTTTTCATATCCATTTGTATATATTTTTGTTGTTGTCTGTGATATTTGATATAAATTGTATACATTTTGATCTGTGTACTTCTCTTCTTTTCAGATCAACGAGTTAAGTAATGTGCCTGTACCAGTAATGTTGATGCCAGACGACTTTAAAGCCTACAGTAAGATCAAAGTGGACAACCACCTTTTTAACAAGTAGGTACTTTGTGATCTCGCTCTGTCAACACTTCACCCAAACACAAGCACGTGTCATGATTCAATCTGGATGTCAAATGCATTTATTGTCGGCTGTTACTGTCATATCTTGCCGCTTGTCTAAACTAAACAAATCCAAAAATTGAAAACAATAATTTGGTGATGAATAATAACAATGTCAAAAACTGAGCTTGGAGCAGACGTTGTATGACTTGGACTTTGCACTTTGTAATTGAGTAGCACAGGCGTCAAAAACAAGGCTTGGGGGCAAAAGGCGGCCCACCAGATCATTTTAGTGGCTCCATGATTTTAAAGGATTACTATTAACTTGCAGCATCGATGAAAAGGCTAATATGAGCTACCATGACGTGTTATACCTCATTTTAGGTCAATTATCTTTTTTGTTGCACCGAACCGGTAAATCATTGGCCAATCCTTTAATCTGTTTTGTTCACAAAGATCCACTAGAAAATAATATCCAAACTCAAATTAAATTAAAGTAATCTTCTTTATGTTAAAAAGTGCATTCAAATATGATCTTCAAACTTTCATACAAGACAGACCAGGGGGAGATTTATCTTCTTTATCTATTTTTTCATCTGACCAAATTGAGTTGGTCACCCCTGGTGTTAAGGTTGCCTATAAGCAAGATTCATATAAATTCACTTATTGACGCCCAAAATGCAGCTCATCACAAAGAGATTCCAAAATGCTGCACAGAAGAAAAAACATATTGATAAAACATATTGATCAATATCTTGTGATGAGAATATTTCACTTCAACAATGGAGCAGTTGTAATAATTAAGCCGTTTTAGAGGAATATTATTGTTAACATGTGAAATACTAATGTATGCAATGTGCCACAAAATCAGTGTGAAATCATCAACAAAAGTGCAAGACATCACTTCCTTGGCAGATTACAACACACGTATAAGTTATGGTTTTTACTTATGCAGCCAAAGCTAAACGCAGCGTCACACACTCGATTGTGTGGAAAATATATTTGTATTTGGCTCGTCTCCAAACGTGTTACATTGAACCTGGAAACCTTCCGAAAGGCAGATTACGCGCGGTGACTAGTGCTTCCAAGCATGTTACTCTGCTGCTTTGTGAATGCGGCTTTACAGGAAGCGAAATTGTGCTCCGGACGCTAAGCTACTGCAGCTATGACTCAAAACGGATTTAACTGGGCACCTTTGCAAGTCAAATGCTGTGGACCAAAAAATATTTGACACTCAAAAATAAATAATGTTTTTTTTATGGGTTACAGAGACCAGACAAGCAACATAAATTAGATATTGTACAAAGGCTAAAGCCACTGCATAATGTAAAAAAAAAAAAGAAATTGCAAACATTTATTCTTTGAAGGAGTACTCAAAACACCTTTCTTCAAGGCTATTATTTTGGTTGGAAGTAGGAGTAATTGAGGGTAGTATATTGTACAAGAAAAAAAGCTTTTACTCCTGGCTTTAACACTGCTTAGACTTAATTTGGTCGCGCCTAAATTCCAATTAAAATCTGATAGAGAACAGTTTAGATACATCACAAGACACACGTTAATCTGGCTTCGTTTTAGTTTTTTGGGACTTTTTGTGTAATAGTTTTTTTCTATTCTGATTATTATAACTTTTTTAAAACGTTTTACAACTATTCTGTGTTATTGGCCAAACCAAGAGCTAGACTTTAATACAATGGTCTGCAGCTTCTTCCCCCATATCAGGTGTGCCCAAACTTCTTTAGTAGGAGGGCCACTTTAGTTCACCAAAATTGTAAAAAAAAATAAAAAAAAATGTTTGTCTCCCCATGTTTAGTCCTGACTCTGGGAGGAATTATGTACTATATTGTTTTAATGACCGGTAAGATGACGATTATCAAAGGTTTTAAAGCAAAATCTGAAGACGCATTTACAGATATGTATTCTGTTTGTATATTCCTAGTCCCCCTGTCCGTAAACATTTCCCCACTGTAGAAAAACTTTAAGATCTCGTAACTTCATGCACAGCGTTTTTTAGATATTTCCTCTCGCTCTGCTTTTGCTTGTTGAATCTGTAATCCTACTGACGAGAATAGGGTCATATTAAGTAAACATTTTTCTCTCAAAATCCTTCCACAAAGTCATCTGCATCTGAAGCAAACACAGCGTGACCTCGGTGAGCTGTGGGCGTCACATGCAAATGAGTGATTCTCAGTCATCAGATAAACAGAGCTCCAAACCCCTGCAGCTAAATGTGTGGAGCAAGTGGACATATTTATCCAACTTTGTGGATTAACATTTTAGTTCCGTTATGAAATACCAGTGCCTTTTTCATTGTGTGGTGTTACTCTAACTGCACTGAGTTTAAGGTATTTAGGGACACGTTCATATAAAAAGGTAACGATGACGGCAATAATAATGTGTCTATGTAGCTGGTTTGTCGCCAACGTCGGCTCTTTGTGAGTTTGTCAAAAATCAAAGAGCAGCAAAAGCGCAAAAACAGCCTGAAGTGGTAGCTGAGAGAGTGTGAAAGACTGCAGAGGACAGAAATAAAACCAAGAGTTGTCCCAGAGAAAACATTTAAATTTCAGAGAGGCGGGACTTCTTGCAAAATCACCCTAAATATCTTTTGTCTATATTTTTCGATCCCTGCTAATACTTGGGGCTGGGTTTCTTCACCATTTTTGGGTTCCACTACTTGAATGATATCTGAATCGATATTAGGCAAGTCAAGTTTGTTTGTATATAGCACAGTTCACACACAAGGCAACTCAAAGTGCTGAACAAAACAAGATGGAAACAATCATACAAAATCATAAACAATCACCCTACATTAAAACAGTTGTATCCACAGGTAAACAGAACTCTCTTTAACCTGGATTTGAACATTGTCAAAGTAGAAGCCTGTCTCACTTTTTCCCGTCGACTGTTCCAGATTTTAGCTTCATAAATCTGAAATGCTGCATCCCCAGTGAATAGTTTGTTCCTAAAATCAAGCTAAGAAAAGGTTTTATAGCCCAGACAGAGCTATAACTACTGCAGAAGGAACTGGAATTTGGTGGGAGTTTTTTGTCATTTCTAATCAAGTAACCAATATGTTGCATCTAGTCTACTTTAATTCAATCTTGAATTAGTATGAATGGTCCGTTCCTCAGATTTTTTGTTGTTCGTTCATGATTCATGATGTAATAACCTCTAAGCATGAAAAATTGCTAACCAATCCCCTGTTTTCTTGTAACTTTTTGTTTTGTTTTTTTGTTTTTAATTAATCAATAAACCGCCCACTTTTTTTGTTTTTTGCACATTCATATCTACTTTTACCAACCCCTTGTTTTATATATATATATTCAATTGGTCATTAAACTCTGCAAATTAAGTCAACAAATCCATATTGTTCAATCTCTACTTGTTATAGAGACCCATTGCATAGTTACTTTTTCTCCTTTGCATATTCATACCTGCTTGTATATATGTATATGATAGAGAATTACCATTAGAATTATTTGTATTTCTTCTATCAAACACCATTTTGTGAGGAACAATATCCACTTTTCATCTTTTAGTGGCCAAACTGTCCAGTCAATGTCTTCAGTGCTCCCACATAATTAAACTTAGTAACTTGCTACTGTCGCAACAAAATCGTTGAAACTAAAGCTATCCATTCTCGCAAATATATTGGTACCAACCCTGTGAGCACCTCTAAGCAGTTTTCCACATTGTATGGAGCAGGATTTGATTTTAAATTCCCTCTGACTTCTCAACGCGCGGAGAAAAGGGGAGCCAGCCGATTGTTTTAGCTGCTTAGTATGCATCATTAGGCCTCGCTCAACCTTTTCCCTGTCTTGTTTCCTCCAGAGAAAATCTTCCTAGTCGCTTTAAGTTCAAAGAATACTGCCCCATGGTCTTCAGAAACCTGAGGGAGCGCTTCAGCATCGACGACCAGGACTACCAGGTCAGTATTCAAGGAAAAGTGTGACTACGTTTTCCACTAATGCACGATAAGACTGCAACGGAAGCACTTATTTTTGGAATTAAGATTGATTCAGCTCTGTGCGTTTACTGCACAAGGCCGTTTGAGGTGGCTAAGGTGTCCACTCGAGTTATAGCACACACCGCACAGTGAGATGATTGGTTATAATAGAGATTTAGACCGAGGCAATAATGGTCGCACAATGCTGAATGATCCTGTGAAAAACTGCTGTATTTTTATAAATGGCAGCTTGTATGTTGATTTGACACGTGACAAAGCTGTGGCATGCTGAAGAAAATGATCAAGTTTTGTTAAAGCTGGAGTTCCTAACTTTAAAACCACAAAAAATAACTATGTAATAAAATCTATGTAGTTTGGTCTACTAGTTTTCATGTCATGTATTTTGGCCTCTGTCATATATCTTATAGCTTTACAATAATATAAGCTTCTTGTGGTCTGTTTTTTCCATTAAACTTTAATTTCTGTTGGGACAAAAACATTGTTACTGTAGGTACTCCAACTTGGACCTGGTTTTAGATCCATTCGCGCTAAAATATCACAAACTCTTGGCACAAACATGTAACTCCACCCCTTTTTATCTAAAAGCTCTTGCCTCCGTCCTGTAATAGTATGATGCCATTCTACAACTACATGACATCACACTCAGAGCTGTGTTCTGCGTTCTTTACATTTGCAAGGCTGTGTTTGCAGCTGGTAGTTTTCAAATTTGGAAAAAAAGGTTACAAATGGAAAGCATTTTACCATATTTTAAGACTTTAGATATCTATTCACATTCTAAAACATGAAATGACAAAGGAAATGATCGCTATAATGTGTTACTGCCTGCAATAAGGCATCATGTTTATTTTTTAAGAAAGAGGTATTTTTAAGCTAAGGGGAACATTCTGAATCGCGAAGTTGCAAATAGCTTCCTTTTTCACTACAGTACATCCACTTTTCTTGTCTTGCATTAACGTAACTTGTTTATTATTCATGTAACTTAAAACTATTGAGGCAAGAATTATACTAATGGATAGCACCACTGTCTCTGCTGCTATTGGGAAAAGACAATCAAATATTTATGGGAGAAAAACTTAGCGTTCTGGTTTTGTGTTTTGGCAGAACTCTCTAACGAGGAGCGCACCCCTGAACAGCGACTCGCAGGGGCGCTTCGGCAACCGCTTCCTGTCCAGCTACGACCATCGCTTTGTAATCAAAACTGTGTCCAGCGAGGACATCGCAGAGATGCACAACATCCTCAAGAAATACCACCAGGTAAAAGCCCCCCACGGTTTGGCCACGACAGCAGCAGGTCTAAGAGATGCTTTGAGAATATGTAAGTTCTGTCATGCTGGGAGATGGGAATAGCAGAGTGGGTTTTTTGCCGTTCTATTGGTACATGATTGTTGAAGCCATATTCGGACAATCTTTTTGCCGACACAGAAGAGAGATGCTGTAATCAAGTCTCCTGGCAAGAGGCTAAACTGAGAACCACTAGGAGCAGTTAAAAGTATATTGGTATAGAAGGAAGGCAGGCACAGTAGAGCAATAAGATGGATGCTGATTGTTTGCTCCTTGAACCAAAATGGAACGCTTATTATAAACTTGGACTGAGGACGTGGATGTGGGAGGTTTAACAAGATATTTACATAAACGTTCTGGGTCATCTTGGTCTGTAGAATGCACTATATACAAAATAAAGATTACTTACTCCCTCACGTACTTACTGATGGTCTTATTAGAATAACTGAAAATTGAAAGAAGAGACATTTCTAGTATCCAATAAGTTGGAGGGAGGGTTCTAATACAACTCTATGGGACTCACATTTGGGCTCCCAGATAATTAGTTGATGGTGAATAGATTCATAAACCTGCCATGTTATTATTCTTATGTCTTCATATGTCTAAGTGGGTGATCTGGTTTACCCTAACACAAAAAACATGTGCAATAGGTATGAATGTAATGAGGGGATGCTGTTGGTTTCATCACCATGTGTCTAGAAAGTCAAAAAGAATATCTGAACTCTTAATATTGTAAATTGCTTTGGGTGATAAAATGTGCTTTATAAATGATTACTTTTGTTTTTGTTTTTCTCCCGGCAGGAGTGGGGGAGTGGGGAGGGGCAGGAGGGGGGCTGTTCTTCTTTTCACTTCTTTAGAAATATTAGTTTTTGATAATGGATTAGAGGTCAGGACCTAGGAGGCTAATGTTAGAAATACTGACTTGACTTTGTTTACTGTCCTTGAAGTCTGTATGTGCAGAAAGAAGAAAAACCAATAAAAAAAGATTTAAATATAAATGATTACTTACTTAGTCCTTTTTACTAGCCAACATCATTCATATTTTGTTCCAGACACCTTTTATTAGAACATAATTGGGCCATAGTTGATATGGACAAAGAAGATGTGGAACTTTGGCCCAGGAATGACTAAAGAACGAGAGCTCTGACTTTTGACACTTACCATTGTTACCAGGAAATGTTTTTCAGCTGCTGCCCTCCACCACAACGGTAAACTATCGGCTCTTTGGAATACTGTCATGTCTCAAGAATGCAGCACACTGGGTTTTTGAGTTGTTCCTTGCCGATGGAGGAGGGTCTTAGGACAGTGGTGATGATCCAGTACATTTAAAGACATTTATGGACATTATTCACATTTGTAGACATTTGGTATCTACCCTTTATGAACAAATGGCTCCTATGTGTTTGATTGTAATTATTGCATTTTCTGTCTGAACGGTTTGATTCTCTGATCTGTGTTGGCGAATCAACAACTTTGTAAAGTCCTCCAAGATTACCGTTTAGGGCTGTATAAAAAAAACATTGAATTTAATTGAAAGTGTGCCATTAATCAAATCTTACAAATTTTAGATGAATTTTAGAAGAATAAATGAGCGTTTCCAATGTCTATACTATATGATAACAATGCTAGAATGGGACGTTACTGTAAAAGTACTGATCAGCGACATCTCCTCTTTCCTCTTCTTCTCTCTGTGCAGTTCATCGTGGAGTGTCACGGAAACACGCTGCTGCCTCAGTTCTTGGGCATGTACCGGCTCACCGTGGACGGAGTGGAGACTTACATGGTCGTCACCAGGAATGTATTCAGCCATCGCCTCAGCGTGCACCGCAAATACGACCTGAAGGTATCGCCCACAATGCTTTTGACACAAGACCTTTTTCTCTAAGATTACTTTCTCACGTGCTTACATTCTTACTTACTAAATGTTAACAAGAGGTTTTTTCCACTCCTGGTTCGTGGTTGTGTTGCTCCATTTGCTGTTAAAGGGATTTGTTGTTTAAAGCTGGGGTATCCAACTTCCAAACTACACAAAGGCAAGGCAAGTTTAATTTTATAGCACAGTTCATACACAAGGCAACTCAAAGTGCTTAACGAAACAAGTGTAATATGTTGTTTAATTCGTTTTTAAACTTAAAATTATCCATGTTTTTATTTTAGAACCAATAAATTAGATTGGGTGGAGCACTGGTGACCCCCTTACCTATCAAGGCATCTCCCAGTGCTGACTATTCAATCGGGAATAGTCAATATCCCTTCTCATTTTAGACCAAAATTAATACAGCAGTAATTTTTAAGCTGTTAAAATCAGTCTTTATGTAATTCCTACCAAATAGTTGGAAATTAAATCTAAATCCCAGTTGTCTTGCTGTGTGGAGAACCTTTAGAAGCCCTCCTGGAGTAGCTCTGGGCCTCAGACCACACCATGGGAAGCACTGATCGACAGAACAAAAATCCCAGTGACTCCCCTGAGGCATCTGCTTTTCTCTACACGAGCTGCGACAAATAAAGATGGCGTAGTCGTCGTCTGTCCTCAGGGTTTTGGAAATGAGACGTTTTAACTCTCGTCTCATCCACCATAAGGATGCGATTCCAAAAATGCCAACGTGTGCAGCCTCACCTCATGCAGCTCAAATGGAAATATACACTGGGTAATAATGACACAGCACTTTTCTTTTTGCTCCCGTTTTTCACGAGCTGGACTCAAAAGATTGAAATATTTTGTCCCACTATCAACTCTAAAATGATAATGCGATGGTTTTATAGAGCGCTTTGGACACTCACGTCACATGTCTTCATTGTTTAACTCCATGCACTCCATGCGAGGCAACCAGTCTCAGCCATCGGCGCCTCTGACCACCACCAACCATTCACACACACACACACACACACCTCATTCTAGGCAAAGTGGGTGAAGTGTCTTGCCTATGGACTCTTTACAGCCGCAGCCGCTCCACTGTGGCACCTTTATTTTCCCAGAGGTCCCCCATCACAGTACTAACCAAGCCCTGCCGTGCTTAGCTTCAGAGGTATGATGGAGTTTGCATGTTCTCCCCGTGTCTTCGTAGGTTTCCTCCGGGTACTCCGGTTTCCCCTACCACTAAAAATATGTACAATAGGTCTGGCATGCGCCTCCTGTTCGGCGACCCCGCTCCCATCTCTGTGTGGAGTGAGAGGACAAGTGCCCAAAAATAACAATTGTAAACCGCTTTGTGACTCTGGTCTGTGAAAGGCGGTATATAAATAAAGATTACTTACTTACTTACTTATGGGATCTGGCTTTCATAGCAGGTGGCACATCAAAATAGTGTATTCATTCAATATTGTATAAGTGAGCACTTCTCCTTTGCCGACCTCACAACTCTTGCATTAACTGACATATCAAGATCTAGAGGTAATGATTGTATTGGTCCCTAGATACACTGCAAAACAATCAAATGTGAGTTATGAAATTCTTGAATCTAGTGTTTTTTAACTTCATTTCAGTAAATTCTCTCATTCCCAGGGAGACATTTCTTGTATCTTTTTAAAACCAGATCATATTGCTTGTCCCATTGGCAAATCTTGTTTTAAGGCAGTCAGAATGTGCTCAAATTAGGTTATTTTTACATATTTTGCATCATTTTTCACAGTGTAGGGGTGATAGGCCTCTGCAGAGATAAGGAAGTCTACTTTAAACCAGGCAAACTCATATGAAAAGATCCCCCCTCTTACATGTGGTTATTGCGCTTGTAAATTGCATTAAATGGGCCAAGTCCTCATCTCTCTCGTCGGTGAAAAACCCACAACGATTCCGGAGGTAAATATTTGCTTGACTTTTGCCGTTAACAGGGGCCCAGAGAGTGCACAAAGCCTTCTGCTCCAAATGACTGAGCAGATGCAGCTGTTTATCGCGGTTCCTTGAGTCGGGGCCATTGTTGGATTCTCTGGAAGCTCAGTCCTCCAAATATGACACACAACATCGCACATACAGGAGCAAAGTGTTAGAAAAAACACAATTTCGTTTCCAGCTTTTCTTCGAAGGCTTCATTCTCTGCCAAGTAAAAAACAAAACACATCCAAAATCTTTGTTTGAGGCTGTCAAGGCTATCGTTTCTGCCGTTGTATTTTTAAAACCGCTTTGATTCCATGTTCTAATTTTATCTCCTCTTTCTTCTGGTTTTAAGGGATCTACGGTCTCCAGGGAAGCCAGTGACAAGGAGAAGGTGCGTTTCTTTTGGTGTGTTGACAGCTGGTGGTATGAGGTGACGAAAATAAATGCCCCCAGCTCAACCCTGTAACAAACTGTCAAATGACATCTAAATTAGATCTGCAGATGTAGACCACTGAACATGGGTTAACAAGCCACGGTTTGGGGCCCGCAACTTTGATTTTTAACATGGTTCTTTTGGGATTTGGAACACATTTTTTTAGCCCCAACTATGTGCTTTGAAATAATCTTGATTTAGTCCAAGCAAGGAAAAATGTTAAAATGACTTTGATATACCTAACTTTATGTATGTTTACAATACTTCAAAATAAACACAGAAAGAGTCTTGTATTAGTAACATGACGTGAAAAAATCAGACCACTTTCTGCTGTTTTCATTGTTTAAAAAAAGATTATTATACTTGTTAGAAAGAACCCTGTGAGTCACTAATTGATGGTTTGGACTGAGAGCAGAAGGTGGGCTTCTATTTTTCACATTTCTGTCTGAAAAAGCTGGTCTAAAGCTATGACAGAAGCCAAGAAATACTTACATGTGAAATTTAGTGACAGAACTAAACTGAGAAAGTGGATTTATCATTGTTTGTGGTTCAAAAAGACCCTTGTGCTAAATGAGCCGCCACAGATGATTCAAAGTTGAAGAAAATACCCTACAATATGGTCTAAAAGGGTCTAAAAGGTAGATAGATGGATACTTTATTGATCCCCGTAGGAGAAATTCAGGGCTGGTCATGTTAGGGAAAAATCATCAAAATTCATCTAAAAAGAGGCTATTTTTTAATCACTGTGGCGGCTCAATTTAGAAATGAGAAATGATCGTTAACAAGGGTTGCTTTCTGTAAATACTAGTCTTTCCTGCCATGCTATTATTGGTCATTAGTTTTACAGTGGTGTTGGATGAACTTATGAAATGTATTATTACTACTATTGAGGAACCGGTAATAAGGGAAGTAATCAAACAGTTTAATTTTAACTTTTGCACATTTTTCTGTAAAACCGGAACAAGCTGACCAAGTAACATGATAGATGGTTTTATTTTCTGTTGGTTAGAACCATTAGAGACTGGTTTATAGAAAAATGTGGTCGGGTTTGGCTTTGATTCATGTCTTCTTACAAATGTGCAACTTTAGTTCAGGTTTAGTTTTCCTCTAGGATACTTCCTGGTTTAGTCCTGGTCCCATGTTCGAAATTATGAAAATACTGTTTTTATTATGATGCATTTTGGGTTTGGTTCTAAATCGCCCGAGATTATTTCCTCTAATATTATCCTTTTTTTGTTTGGTTTTTGGGATATGAGACTCTTTCATTTAGAGAAAGGGA